GACAGCCATTCCATACTCGCAAGAAAGTCGATGCCGAACTGGATAGGCTGATCGAACTAGATATCATTGAACCAGTAACAGGCCCAGCACCATGGGTAAGCCCAATTGTCACTCCACCAAAGCCGAAGAATCCAGATGAGATACGCATCTGTGTGGACATGCGTGTTCCCAACAAGGCAATAATGCGTGAACGCCATCCTACACCCACTGTAGATGATATGATATACCGCCTGAATGGTGCAACTGTATTCAGCAAGTTAGATTTAAACAAGGGATATCATCAGCTTGAACTTGATGATGAGAGTCGCTTCATAACAACGTTTACGACACATCGAGGTCTGTATAGGTACAAGCGCCTGAGTTTTGGTATTAACAGTGCTGCTGAGGTATTCCAGCACATCATCAGCCAGGTATTGCAAGATTTACCTAATGCTGACAACATGTCTGATGACATCATTGTTTATGGCCGTACCCAAGCTGAACACGACAAAGCTCTTCGTGCAACATTGCAACGCCTACGAGACAAAAATCTGACGCTAAGCCGAGCAAAGTGTGAGTTCAATCAACATAAAATTGAATTCTTTGGATATGTACTTAGTGATAAAGGTCTGTCTCCAGATCCTAAGAAAGTTGCAGATATCAAGAATGCTGCACCTCCTTCAACGTCCACTGAGGTACATGGTTTTCTGGGAATGGCAAACTACTGTTCTCGCTTCATTCCAGATTTTGCTACCATTACGAAGCCTCTACGTGAGCTCCTGAAGAAAAATACATCATGGTACTGGAGCAATATCGAGCAAAATGCATTTGATGCTGTGAAAGATGCACTAGTAGAGAATGCGACTGCTGCGAACTTTGATCCATCAATGGACACTGAGTTAACGGTGGATGCTAGTCCTATTGGTTTAAGGTGCTGTTTTAGCCCAACACAAACCTGGTCAACCAGATTCCAGAGTAATAATTGCCTACGCCAGCCGTTCTCTCACAGATGTTGAACAACGATACAGTCAGACAGAGAAGGAAGCTCTTGCTCTTGTATGGGGCTGTGAACACTTCAATGTGTATCTGCTTGGTGCACCCTTCACCACGATAGTCACTGACCTGAAACCGTTGGAGACCATCTTCAATAATCCAAAGTTCAAACCACCAGCTCGCATTGAGAGATGGGCTCTTCGTCTGCAACCATACAACTTTACGGTGAAATACAAGCCGGGTGCAGGCAATCCCGCTGATTACATCAGTCGACATCCTGCCAACAGTTTCACCATCACCAAGCATCAGCAAGTTGCCGAGGAATATGTACACTCTGTAACCTGTGATGCAGTCCCTAAGGCTCTCACTCTTGATGAAATCCGTACTGCAACCCTAGAGGACCCAACTCTGCAAGCAACAGTGGATGCATTGACTAAGAAAAAGTTTCCACGCATGCCACCCTCAGGAGTTGACCAAGATGCATTCAAAGCACTTGAACGCATCCAGACAGAATTAAGTGTTACGCAACAACGCGACACCATGCTGCGAGGTACTCGTATCGTCATTCCAGCTGTTCTCCAGCAACGTGCTCTGAAGCTTGCACATCAAGGACACCAAGGTCTTGTTAGGACCAAACAGCTGCTACGAGAAAAGGTGTGGTTTCCTGGCATTGATCGTCAAGCAAAGGACATGCATGATGCCTGTGTCCCTTGCCAAGCTGCAGTGGATACTTCAAGACCAACACCTCTACAACCTTCACCACTACCTGCTGCACCATGGATGGAAGTAACGATGGACTTCTGCGGACCACTACCAACTGGAGAGTACTTGATGGTAGTCATTGATGATCACTCACGTTATCCAGAAGTAGAAATCATCACTTCCACATCTGCAAAGGCTGTCATCCCGAAACTCGACAAGATCTTTTCAAACTTTGGCATTCCTGAAGTTGTCAAGACGGACAATGGACCGCCATTCAATGGACAAGACTTCGTCAACTTTGCTGAGCATATTGGATTCAAACACTGCCGTGTGATGCCAATACATCCTCAAGCAAATGGAGAAGTCCAGAGATTCATGCAACCTCTCATGAAAGCGGTACGCTGTGCTCATGCCGAAGGACGATCCTGGAAACAAGCTATGTATGCTTTTCTCAAGAACTACCGTGCAATACCACATAGAACACTGGGCAAGTCGCCTGGTGAACTTTTATTTGGACGTCCTATGAGAATCGCACTACCTGTCATGCCAGCCGAGGTAACGGATAAACGTCTCGCTCAGAAGAATGCGCTTGCCAAGGGCAAAATGAAAATTGCTCATGATCAACGTGCAAAGGAACAATTCATAAAGGTTGGAGATACTGTTCTAGTTAAAAAGAAAAACGAGGGAAAGCTAGATATGCCGTATGATACAAAACCATATACAGTGATTAGTGTAAAAGGAACTATGGTAACAGCTAGTAATAAAGATCATAGTATAACACGTAATATGGCTTATTTCAAAGTGATTCCAACTAGTGTAGAAAATGATGAAGTACAAAGTCGTGCAAAGGAAAAAGAAAAAATGAGTTATAATCCGACAAACAATTCATCAAGGGATATTCTTGTATTTAAGGACTCTCGTCCTAAACATCATGTTAAACGCTCTACACGATTTGATGATTGTGTTACTATGTAATGCAAAGTATTTACTTATTATGCTAAACTAAATTTAATATTGTTTGAATAATGCAGATCTCTCATTCAATATTTTGTAACTCTGTATTAGTTTCTTTCATGTTTGTTTAACATTGCATATGTATTTTTAACATTGAAATCCTATGTGGTAAAGATTAAGTTGTTTAAATTCTTTGTGTGCTTAATTAATGTTAAAGGTATGCAATATCTCTTGATATGTTAATAACTTACTTTGTGTCAATAACTTTGCTTTGTGCTACAAGCATGGTAGACATCCTGTATTCATTCTTTTTAAAGAAAAGGAGGGATGTCATGTTCACAGAAAACGGTACCATCCGTTTTCTATGTGCGGCGGCTCAGACGCCAGAGAGAGAAGGTAAACAGAGAGCGTACAGGACGCTACCAGCTTGGAAGCTACTAGTCATGTAATCGTTTATAAGTATTAAAGTCAGTAATCAAGCAATGATTTTATATCAACCCTACAACCAAGACTTCCTCAGCTACATACAAACACCACAACAGGTAAAATCATTATTTTTTTAAGAGAGCGCCATCTGTTGCACGTACAGAGCAGCACACACTATACTAAATTTGTTACGATTCCATTTCAATGTTTCTGATTGCATTGACAAATTGAATTTTCATAGATTTCGACTGATTTTAATTTTGATTTCATTTATGTGACATTGCATTGGAGTTAAGCTGTTATGTTTACCATACCGTTAATTACCCGAGTATACTTTATTTTTGTATTTTTAATTGTTTTTCATTTCGTTTTTTAACTGTTTTTCTTATCTCAGTGATGGGAACATCAGATCATTTGATTTTCTCAATTTTCTGATGGGAGCATCAGATCGTTTGGGAATGCATCGAACGAAGGAGTGGGGAATGTTGGGGAGGACAAGGGGACTGGACTGAGGGATGGTGGGGATTACAAGAGGACAGGGGAGGGATTAATAGTGGGGATGACGAGAGGACGGGACAGTTGGGGATGGTGGGGGCGAGGGGATAGGGGAATAGAGAATGGTGGGGACGAGGGGATAGGGGAATAGAGAATGGTGGGAAGGACAAAGGGACAGAGGAGTAGGGGTTGGTGGAAAGGACGAGGAGACGGGGGCGGTTGGAATGGGAGGGAGGACGAGGGGATGAGTGAGTAGAACCTGGCAGGGAGGAGGAGAGGAAGGAGGAGTGGGGAATCCTTAGGAGGACAAGCGGACGCTGGAGTGGGGGATGTTGGGGAGGACAAAGAGACATGGGATTGGAGAAATCGTGAGGAGGACGAGTGAATTGTGGAGTGAGGAATTGTTGGGAGGAAGAGGGGACGGGTGAGTGATGAATAGTTGGGAGGAGGAGGGGACGAGTGAGTGATGAATAGTTGGGAGGATAAGGTGACTAGACAGGAGTAATGGAGGGAAGGACTGGGAGACAGGGAAGGGTGCTGTGTCTCAGCAACACACTTGGTTGCTGAGCCACAGCAACGCATGGCCGGGTACAGCTAGCATGCATATATATATATATATATATATATATATATATATATATATATATATATATATATATATATATATATATATATATATATATATATATATATATATATATATATTGTCAGGGTTCACCCCCTTCCTACCTGTGGTTGGAGTTGCTCCCACGGGGCTTAGCCCCTCAGTTCCTGGCGCCACTGTCCGCCCCGGGTCTTCCCCAGTCGGCCAAGGGCTGGCCTTATACACCCCTAGCGAGTGGAGAGGTTCAAGCCTCTTATAACTCACCTGAACCTGCCCGTCCTTACACTGGGAGGTTCTATCTTTCTTTATCTGGTCTGCTCAGGTCGCCAGCTGGGTGTTTATACTCGTGTCCCAGCAACACGTCACTGGTCTTATTGATTGACAGTTGAGAGGCTGAAATGTTTCCACCCAACATTTCAACAACCACTTGGGCTGGACGAAAGAGCGACGGTCTCGCTTCATGCAGGTCGGCGTTTAATCCCCGACCGTCCACAAGTGGTTGGGCACCATTCCTTCCCCCCCCCCCCCCGTCCTATCCCAAATCTTTATCCTGACCCCTTCCAAGTGCTATATAGTCGTAATGGCTTGGCGCTCTCTCTTGATAGTTCCCTCCCCAACATCTCTGTCTCCCAAACATCGAGGTGTGGACTCCCCCACGTTTGGGCTGGTCCATCCTCCACTCGGCCGGGCGGCCCTGGAGGCAGCTGGCGGCCGGCCCTCTTAGAGCGACATCAAGAGAGCCCATGAGCAGTCTCCATGCTTGGTCTTCTTAAAGCTCACTTACAAGCTATATTTGACAACAGTGATCATTTAGTTTAAATAAAGATATGAAACAAAACTAAAAAACTTTTAGAGCGTTAAAAATAGCGAAATGTTTGATAAACAATTCGTGCTAACCGCTGCTTTCTCCGCTGTGATCATCATCGCCTTCATCGCATTAATGACCTTGACCCGTATTGGCCGCTGGGTCAAGTCTCGCGCCTCCGCCGTGACCACGAAGGTCAACAACTGGATCAAGCCCCGCGCCTCCATCGTGACCACGAAGGTCAAGACCCTCGCCTCCTCCGTGACCTCGAAGGTCAACAACTGGGCCAAGAACCACACAAAGCTGGCCGCCTGGGGGAAATACATCTTGGTGTTGACCGTCGTGGCAGCCTGGCTGGTGGCCTCTAACTACCGCGCCTTCAGGAGTAAGCCCCAGAACGGCGCCCTAGAGCGTTACCTGGCATCTGTCGCCAGGGACGACGCCCTCAGGAATGTTCTCGATGGCTTCGTCAGAGATGTTGCCGAGCGCGGCGGAAAATTTACTTATAACCAGCATCTGCAGATACTCCGGGACGCCTGCAAGCGTCGCGCCCACCGGATGGATGCTTCCCTCCTGACAGGTCCTGACGGCGCCCTCCTAGAGGCTGCTGACGCCGCCCTGCTGGAGACTGTAACCCTGGCATCTATAGACGCGGCGCTGCGAGTCTCTCCAGGCTTCGGCTACCAGGAAGACGCAGACGGAGAGGTAGGAGAGGCTTTAGGTGACGTCTTCCACGACACGGCCGACGCCGTCGTTGAGTTTTTGTTAAAGTTTTACACGACCCAGTGAGCGGAGATGACACGCCCGGCGACGAGGGAGCTGCCTTCCACCATGAATGGCGGCCGCTGCCATCCATCACGAATGACTGCAGCTGCCCTCCACCATGGGTGAAGGCAGATGCTGTTTACCATGGGTGAAGGCAGATGCTGTTTACCATGGGTGAAGGCAGATGCTGTTTACCATGGGTGAAGGCAGATGCTGTTTACCATGGGTGAAGGCAGATGCTGTTTACCATGTGTGGATGCAGAAGCCAGTCACCGTGAGTGGAGGCAGCGGCCAGTCATCGTGAGTGAAGGCAGCGGCCAGTCATCGTGAGTGAAGGAAGCTGCCATCCGCCTCTGTTCAATTCTTCCAACTTTTCTTCGTTCTTTATTTTTTACTCGGTTGCGTAGATGACTGCTGACTGCTGTCAGCTGGAGATTCATTTTCCTTCCTCATCCATTTTCTCAGGAACACTAACTGCCAATTGGCTTACAAGCAGGTCCCAATTACTGCTGGTTGAAAAGGTGCGACCCCACTCCCACAGCATACGGGGGACGGGTGAAGGGCGTGTGTGAGCATGTAGATGGAGAAGAGTAGGTGGGAGAAAATGGGAAATGTAGGTGTGAGAAGATGGGGAGTGTGAGAAAATGGTTATTAGGTAAGTAATACTAAGCAGCCTCCAAATCCTAGTCCTCGGGCTAAGGATTTCGGATTGAACGGTCGCTCTACCGTCCAGCCCAAGTGGTTGGGCAAGGTAGCTCTGAGGAGTTCGAAGCTATTTGAGGACTAGTTGGTTGATGACTCTGTAGTTGCCCTGCAAGAAGGTAAATCCCCAAAAGGAAGTTTAACTAATTACTACGAAGAATAATCTACAGTTGATCTACAGGGAACGTTGAACATCTTTGGTTGTGTGAGGAGTTCATTGTATTGGTATACTTGATGCAGTTAATACAGGTGAGAGTGTTTACTCGTTTTATCTATCTACAGTTTAGAGCCATGGTTTGAACATCAATCGACAATCGACTTGAGAATGGTCCAGGACGGACCGAAACGTCGTCGTCCCTTCACCTTCTAGGGTGTGGTCTCGTCAACATTAGTATTATGTAACCTAATTGTTGAACACAGTGATCCTTAACATTGACATTATACCTGACGCTTAGGTAATTGTTTGTACATTATATTGAGCAATGCATATTCCTGATAACTAATGATTATAACAGGCAAAAGTTTTTCATATATAATAAATATATTTAAATATATATAAACTAGCAGTACCCAGCCACGCGTTGCTGTGGCTCAGCAACGCATGTCCACCCCACCATTCCCCTCTCACCAGTCTCCTCAGCCACTCAACCATTTGCCACTCCACCGTCCACTCGTTCTCCCCACCATTCCCCACTCCACCATCCCCTCTTCCTTCCCCCCATGCCCCACTTCCCTGTCCTTTTGTTCTCCCCACCATTCTCCATTCCCCTATGCCCTCTTCCACACAATCCCAAACTCCCCCGTTCCCTCGTCATGCCCCACGATTACCCCTCCCTTGTCCCCTCGTCCTCCCTACCATCTCTCACTTCCTTTCCCTCATCATCCCCCACCATTCCCTACTGCCCCGTTCAATGCCCCTTCCAAAAGGTTTTATGTTCCCATCAGGAAATTGGGAACATCAAGTGATCTGATGTTCCCATCACTGAAATATAAGAAAAGCAGTTAAAAAATGATATGAATGTATTAAAAAATAAAATTAATAAACTGTACTCACAAAGTGAACGGTATGGTAAACAACACAGCTCAATTCCAATGCAATTCACACATAATAATTAAATCAAAATGAAAATAAATCAAAATCTATGAAAAGTCATTTTATCAGTGCAATCAGAAACATTGAAATGGAATTGTAACATATTTAGTATAACATGTGAGTTGCTCTTACATGCAACAGAGGGCGCTGTTTTTCAAGAAAAGCATAGTTTTACCTGTCACAGGTGTGGCATCTATACTTATACTTACGAAATGATAGGTATGGTAAACAACACAGCTCAATTCCAACACAATGTCACACAAAATAAATAAAAAATTAAATACATCAAAATCTATGAAAATAAAATTTATCAATGCAATCGCAAACATTGAAATGGAATTCGTGACATATTTAGTATAGGGTGCATGTTGCTATTATGGGCAACAGATGGCGCTGTGTTTCAAAAAGGCATGTTTTACCTGTTAAAGGGGTAGATATAGTAGGTATATATAAAGATGCGCCTATTCGAATGCAACGTTGTGTCAAAATTTTAGGGGGGCATATCGGTATAAATTAAAAGTTGTTCAATTTGCTAATAAATTGTTTTATGAAATGGTTATAGAAAGAGCTGCAACTGGTCCAAGTTTCACCATCACACCCTAAACAGAAAAGGAGAAAAAAAATACACAACGTATTATGCAACGAATGTTCAACATTCTCAAATAATCTCAGGGAACACATGTGTCAACTAAAATGTCTATGTGCTGTAGAAGCACAAACTCTTGTAATAATTGTAATATGTATGTGCAATATATTTATATGTAAAAGTTTTATTTTTTTTATTTTTTTTTTTATTTTTTTTTTGGGCCAATTTTTTTTCTCGTTTGTTATCAAGGGATTTGCATGAAACTTGCACACCTTGCTCAATGGATGCCTATCTGCAAGGGTGCCAATTATGAACGAAATCTGTCGAAGTCAAGCTCAGCTACAGGTGGCCGAACTTGGATCTTTATTTTACTCTGGAAAGTAATTTACACCTTCAAAGTACTTCAGAGCTTTCATTTATTAATCAATGTACATGCAAATTACACCTTATATGTAGAGTTTGTGCTTCTATAAACCTATTGAGACATTTTAGTCCAACGTCCATTTGTTGATTTTATAAAAATTTATAAACATCATATATTGCATATTTTTGGAAGGGTAACTTTGAATAATTATATTATTGCACTAAACACTTTTTTGATAAAACTGATCACTACAATCCTTTATTGTGTGCTACATTTAATATCTGAGTGTTATAGAAATGATTTTTGTTGACACATGTGTTCCCTGAAACTATTTGAAAATGTTGAAAATTCGTTGCATAATACGTTGTGTGTTTTTTTTCTCCTTTTCTGTTTAGGGTGTGATGCTGAAAGTTGGACCATTTGCAGCCCATTCTATAACCATTTCATAAATAAATTTATAAACAAATTGAACAATTTTTACGAAACCCGAAATAAGCCCCCTTAAAGCAATCGGTGAAGAACTTTCGGAGAGTGCAGCGTGTGTTGCTCTTACATCCAACAGATGGCGTTGTTTTTCAAAAAAGCATGTTTTTTCCTGTCACAAGTGAGGCATGTATATAGTAGACATAAAAAAATGCACCTGTTCGAATGCAACGTTATGTCAAAATTTCAAACCAATCGGTAAAGAGGTTTCGAAGATTTCCCTCACATGAAAAACACATGAAGAACACAGTTTTTCAGAAAAAGCATGTTTTTTTTTTTATCGTCACAGACGTGACCTCTATATAGTATGTATATATAAACCTGGCCGGATGTGAATGGAACGTTGTGTGAAAATTTCAAAGCATTCAGCAAAGAACTTTCAGAGATTAGCGGTTATGCACAAATTAACATTTCCATTTTTATTTATATACTAGCAGTACCCGGCCATGCGTTGCTGTGGCTCAACAACGCATGTGCGTTGCTAAGCTCAACCCGTTCTCACATTTTCGTATAGTCAATATTGACTTATTAAATACGTGCATATGTGACATACTAAACATACTAGTTTACCTTGAAAAGCTTCATCGAAAACACCGACCTTACCTAACCTTCTTAGTATGTTAAGATAAGCTTCTTATTGCTTCGTAATTACAATTATTACTTAACCTATTATAGGTATAGGTAATTGCTTCGTAATTACAATTATTACTGAACCTATTATAAGTATAGGTTAAGTAGTAATTGTAATTACAATTATTACTTAACCTATTATAGGTATAGGTAATTGCTTCATAATTACAATTATTACTTAACCTATTATAGGTATAGGTTAAGTAGTAATTGTAATTACGAAGCAATAAGATGCTTATCTTAACATAATAAGAAGGTTAGGTAAGGTTGGTGTTTTCTGTGAAGCTTTTCAAGGTAAACTAGTATGTTTAGTATGTCACATATGCACGTATTTAATAAGCCAATACTGATTGTAAGAAAGTGCGAGAACGGGTTGCTGAGCAGCAGCAACTTCCCCTCTCCCCCAGTCCTCATTACCATTCTCTCCTCACCCGTCTCCTCGGCCTCCCAACCATTCCCCACTCCCCCGTCCCCTCGTCCTTCCCCACCATTACCCCCCTCCCTTGTCCCCTCGTCCTCCCCACCATCTCTCACATCTGTACCCTCATCTTCCCCACTCCCTTCTTTGATGCTTTCCCAAATGGTCTGATGTTCCCATTAGAAAATTGGGAACATCAAGTGATCTGATGTTCTCATCACTGAAATATAAGAAAAACAGTTAAAAAATGAAATGAAAATATAAAAAAATACCAAAAAATAAACTATACTCACAAAATGAATAGTATGGTAAACAACACAGCTCAATTCCAATGCAATTCACACAAAATATTTAAAATCAAAATGAAAATAAATCAAAATCTATGAAATTTCAATTTATCAATGCAATCAGAAACATTGAAATGGAGTTGTAACATATATAGTATACCATATGTGTGTTGCTCTTACGTGCAACAGATGGCGCTGCTTGTCAATAAAAACATAGTGTTACCTGACACAAGTGTGGGACGTATACTTATACTTACGAAATGAACGGTATAGTAAACAACATTGCTCAATTCCAACACAATGTCACACAAAATAATTCAATAAAAAAATAACAAAAAATACGAAATCTATGAAAATAAAATTTATCAATGCAATCGGAAACATTGAATTGGAATTCATGACATATTTAGTATTGCGTGAATGTTGCTATTATGTGCAACAGATGGCGCTGTTTTTCTAAAAACGCATGTTTTTACCTGTCACAGTGGTGGCATCTTTATAGTAGGTATATAAAAAGGCGTGTCTATTCGAATGCAAGGTTGTGTCAAAATTTCAAAGCAATCGGTGAAGAACTTTCGGAGATTACAGTGTGTGTTGCTCTTACGTCCAACAGATGGCGCTGTTTTTTCAAAAAACATGTTTTCTTCCTGTCACAGGTGAGGCATGTATATAGTAGATATATAAAAAGACGCACCTATTCGAATGCAACGTTGTGTCAAAATTTCAAAGCAATCGGTAAAGAGGTTTCGAAAATTTCCCTCACATGAAACAGTTTTTCAGAAAAAGCATGTTTTTTTTTTACCGTCACAGACGTGACATCTATATCGTAT